GTCGCGAAAGAGTCAGCCACGACTGAGCAGCTAACACTTTCACTTTCATGGGAGAATGTGCCCTAACCCCAGGGTTGTTTGCTCCTAAGAGTAGACACATCAGGTGGCCAGCCCAAGGATGAGTTCTGGAAAATTTGAATGATGGAACAGAAAGAAGGAAACTGGAAGTTGTTTGGTAGCCCGTCTTGCCACAGGTGCTCTGGGGGAGGCCCAGCCTGCTGCCTGGTTTCTCACTTACCATCTTCCCTGTCTTCCAGGCAGATTTTCTGAAAGGACTGCCTGTCTACAACAAAAGCAATTTTAGTAGATTTCATGCCGACTCTGTGTGCAAAGCCTCGGTGAGTACATAGGCCATAAACTGCCTCGAGGGAAAGGGTCAGGGGTGATGTGCAGCCCGAGGGTCTGAGTCTTGTCTGGAACAGAGGCTGAGCTTCAGGCCCAGCCCCACTCGAATTCCTTGCATGGCTTTTATTTATTTATTTTTTTCTTTGCATGGCTTTTAATCCGCCTGGGAGTGAGGGTGCCAAATTGAGGTGTGTGGGGACCGCAGACTCGCCCACTCTCCTAACCCATGCCTTCCCACTCCTCTTGCAGAACCGACGTCCCTCAGTCTACCTGCCCACTAGGGAGTACCCGTCTGAACAGAGTAAGTGGCCGCTGCCCTTCGGTGCTATCCCGGCTGGCGAGGGGAAAGGCCACGGGGTGGTACGAGAGGGGACCTGTGGGAAGCTGGGCCACTCCCGGCCCTTGGGAGTAGCTGGAAGCCTGCCTTTCCCTGGGACCCTCCTGATCTCCCCACTGGCATGGACAGTCTGCCCCCATCAAGTCAGATGGCCCCCGCTGGCTCCATGACACAGGTCTTGAGCCTTGTACCATGGGTGGGGGAGGGCATGCCTGGGGAGGGGCCTGGAGCCTGCAGAACAGGGGGGCTTATGGTTATTTGTTGTGGGCCTGAACCCTGGACCTTTCTCGGCTCGCTCTGTGGTCACTGGGGCTTGTTCACGTGGATCCGTGCTCCTGGGCTGTCTGGGAAAGTAGGAGCTGGCAGGCCGGGGCTCGTTCCCTGCCTGAGGGTGGAATTCGAGCTCCACTGCGGACTCGGCCCCTGCCTGGGAAGCTGGGACCCCATTGCGGCAGCCGGCTCAGGCTGCTGGTAGTGGCATGGGCTCAGGGTAGGGGGTGCTTGGCTTCTGGAAATCTGCTCCTGGGTTGGGGGTGTGACTTGAGTCCCAGAGAGGCCACCCAGAGCAGTGACACCCAGAGGCCATGTAAGGGCAGGCAGTGCCAGCCGGGGTGGCCAGCGTTTTCCTACAGCTCTGTCTGTCTCTCCTCCTCAGTCATCGTGACAGAAAAAACAAACATCCTTTTGCGCTACCTACATCAGCAATGGGACAAAAAGGTAAGGCAGGCGGGGTGTGGGCATGGGCCTCGGGAAGGAACACAGTGCCCAGCAGGGGGCTGTGAGCTGGGGAACACTGGTGGCTGGGAGACTGAGGGTTCGGGTGGGGCCTTGAGGGCTAAGTAGGAGTTTGCCAGATGATCCAGGAGAGGGAAGAATGTTCTAGAGGAGAGAAGGGCTGTGCTGAGGCCATGGGGCTCTGGTGCTCAGGGACAGGCAGGGGTTTGCCAAGCTGTACTGAGAGGCCTGGCTCCCCAGAGGGTGTGGGGAGCATGGCCCTGGTGGCAGGTGGACATGGGTGCTGTTGCTTGGAATATTCATTCAGTGATGAAAGGCTCACGTGATTAAGACATTCAGGCCCTACTAGGATGTGTAGCTGAGGTGAAAAGTCACCTTCCCCACAAGGGGCCATCTTTCTGACAGGATTTTTTTTGCTTTCTTGAAAATCTGCCTATGTAGTTTTGCCACGTGGTCAGGTGGTCTTTTTTTCTCTAATGCTGACCACTGGACAGTGACCTGCTCTGGGCCAGGTTGAAGGGGACCCCATGATGCAGTGACTGCTCGGAACACCCCAGTCCCCGGGCTCCACAAGCCTTGCTCCCCACCAGTGAGGGAAGGAGCTTTTCCCAAGTCAGCACACTTTCCTTTTCTATGGCAGTTTGGGGGGCCTCCCCAGGCAGCTCCTGAGTGCCCTTTGCCCTCCGGCACAGTGAGTGATTCTCTGTCTGAGAAGTGGACCACGTGGGGAGTCAGACATCGTGGTGACCCCCTGAAGCGCCTGTCCCAGGCTGGGGTCCCCAGTGACTCAGCAGGGCAGGTTTGGGGGACAGAAGGGTCAGCCCAGGCGCAGCTCCGGGCGGCACTGGAGGCCTGGAGCTGCAGAGGCAGCATCAGACTTAGGTGCTCCCCCATGGGAGGCTCACGGTCACTCTGCTCCCCTGCCCCCCAGAACGCCGCCAAGAAGAGAGACCAGGAGCAAGTGGATCTAGAGGGCGAGAGCTCGGCACCGCCCCGCAAGGTCGCGCGGACCGACAGCCCGGACATGCACGAGGACACTTAAGGCACGCCCCCCTCAGGCGCCTCCTGTCCCGTCCGCGCCTCACCCACCTGCCTTGTGTAAGCGCCCCCCACCCCACCCCTCCGCCGGCCCGCCCACACCCCTTCCACACCACTTCCAACCTCATAGGAGCCAATGTATTTATTTTCCTTGAGTTTTTATTTATGCTGTAAAACGTACCAAGCGATGGTTACAGGGGACATCAGACCCAGTAGTGTGATGTTGGTAGATGCTTTAAAACAAAAACAGAAACGTTGTTCCTCACCTCCCCCTGTCCCGTTCCCCTTCCTCCTCTTGCCCCCCAGTTCTCCTCTGGAAAACTGGAGCGTGTTTAGGAGGGTCTAGAGCCGGGACCCCTCTGCGGCCGGCCGGCACGGGTGGGGGCCCTTCTCCCAGCACCCACCTCCCGGTCCGGGCCTTAAAGACTTTGCCTTGTCTCGAGTTCCACCGGGACCTATTCTGTGCCCAGACCTTGCTCTGAGCTCGAGTAAGGGGGAGAAATCAGCCCTTCTGGATCTTTCTCTTAAGTCATTTTATCATGGACTAGTGCGTGCTCCGTGTCCACCCCAATAAAAGGATCTTTCCTACCCGACCTTGCGTCTTTGCTCGGCGTGCCTCGGCGCCAGAGGATGGAGCCCCTGAGAGTCGTCTGTCATCACCAAGAGGAGCCAAGAGGGGCCTCCAGACACGGGCCCCAGAACCAGCTGGATCCTCTGACGGGCCTGCTTGGCCATCTCACTGAGTCAAGACCTGCCTGGACCCTCCCCTCGGCCTCACCCGCATCAAGGTGTCCCCAAGGACCAGGACACCCCCCCTCCCCCGCTGGAGAAACGGTCCATGCTGCCACGGATGGAGTGTGGTGGGCCCCATGCCCAGGACGTCAGCGAGCAGGGCCACATGCCCACCCGCCATCACGGAGACAGGTGGCCTGGCCTCCCGCCCTGGCTCAGGAGGCGGCACGCGGAGCGCCAAGGAAAGCCCAACCCCAGTGCCCTCGGGGGGCAGGTTCCTTGGCCAGTCCTGGCCACCAGCTGGGCTGGGTTTGGGGCTGACTCTGGGGAGGTAGGGGGCATTCGGGCTCCAGGCAGAAGGTTGAGGGCCCTGAGCACCAGAGCACAGGGCAAGGGGAATGCCACTTCTCCCCCCCCACCACCCACCCTGAGTAGGAGCCAGAGTCTTGGAGCCGATTGCTGGGGTGCGGGGGTGGTGAGGGGTGGAGCTGTGGAGCGAGGGGGACAGCAGGCTGCGGGGGTGCCCGTCCTGGCGGTATCACCGTGGAGATGCCAGCCTGAGTCAGACTGCTTGGGCTTCACCAGGGGTCTGCTGGGTGGAAGGTTCCAGGCTTAACTGCCCAGCTGTGGGGCCCAGCTCTGGGTGTCTCTGCAGCAGTGTTCAGTTCTTCAGCAGCGGTCATAAAGCAGGTGCTTAGGAAAGGCAGGTTTGACCATGGTCATGCCAGGGAGGGCCAAGTCCCTGGAGGCTCTCAGACCAGCTCGGAATCGCTAGTCCCAGGGGTTGGCTTGGCCCTGGGGAGGCGCGTGGTGTCACCAGCTGTTGGTGACTGAGTAGATGGCAGGAGTTCAGCTTCAAAGGCCATGGGGCCGAGCAGGTCGTGTCCTTCAGCCTGTCCTTCCCCAAGGCTCCCCCACACCTCCCTGGCCCCAGGAGGCTGGGTGCCATCTCCTGCCAGAGCTGTCCATGGTGTGGGTGGGGTCCATGGCCTCTCCATGGCCGCCCCAGCTTAGGCCCCTCTGCCAGCCTCCACCCACTCCCCCTGCCTTTGGGGCCCTCCTTGCTCTGCTCCCCACAAACATCAGACTCTGCCTTCCCACACCTGTGCCTTTGCACGGGCTGCTGTCTTGCCCCTAGTGAGCCCTGATGGTTTTTCCGTGGCCTCCCAAAGTGCCCCTGCCTCACGCTGGCTCCTCCAGCCCTGGGGCAGGGCCTTTCTGACTGAGCCTCTGGGTGTAGACCCCCTGGGGCTGCAAGAGGCCACGCCCACCCCATCACACAGTGAAGGGCCCCTCTCTATGACAGCGGTCTGAGAGTGTCACACAGCAGGGCCATGCCAGCCCTGCCCGATGCTGCCTCTGAACACACCGTCCCCGTAACATTGAGACTCAGGCACCAGGTGCCTTCTGACTCCCAGCCCTGAGTTCTCCTGTAGCCCTTGACTTCTCAGATGTCAGCCTGGGAGGCAGGTCTGCCAGAAAGGGTGGCCTGGCATGACTGAGGCTGACTCAGGACCCACACCTACGACCTGACCTGCTGATTCCTGCTGGCACTTTTTTTTGAGATTTCTTCCTTTGTCTAGGAGGCTGAAGATGGGGCCTGAGGCTCTGCAGCTCCTCCCAGGGGGGCCCCTAGGCATGGATTTCTGGAGTTTTCCATACATTTGGCCTGGAGACCCAGTTCTTAGGCATTCCCCAAGGGTCTCAGGACAGAAGGGGAACCCACTCTGGGCCTGCCAGTTCCCCAAAGAGCTGGCCCCAACCTTGTCATTGGGCCCCGGAAGTCCACTTTCAGCAGCTCCGCCTTTGGGCACTGTTGAAATATACTTTTTATTGCATTTCTGCCGTTTTACAAAAATATGACAAAATAAATTAAAAACAAATAAATAATCGCCTATTCTGTGTGTTTTCTGTTGTTTTTTGGGGGTTTCGTTTTCCCCCCCATCCTGGTCGAAAGGAAAACGGCAGATAGAGGGGCCCCAGGCCCCCGGCCCTGCCCCAGGAGGGGGCAGCCAATACTGGGGTACATCGGGCCCGGCCCAAGTGTTTTCTGGGTGGCGGCCGCCGCCCCGTCTGTGATTGATATTGCATATGAAAACAGGAAGGCAGGGCGGGCGGAGCTAATGCCAGCCGCTGGGCCAGCACACGGCCTGAGGACTGGGACTGGAGCTGGGGCTGGGTGAGGGCATCGGGGTCTGGGGGGGCTCGGAGGTGGGAGGCAGCGGCGGCAGCGGGAGGCTGTAGAAGCTGGCGTCCCCCGGCAGGGGCTGGGGGGCAGGCGGGGGCCCGGCGAGGGCGCAGGGCGGGCAGTCGGTGGCAGCAGGAACCTGGCGGGGGGCGGCGCCCTCGCCCCCGCAGCCCCACGGCCCGTCCCACTGCCAGCAGCCCGCGGGGGGCGTCGGGGGCCGAGGCAGCGGTGTTGGCGGCGGTGGCGGCGGCGCAGGGCTCCGGCTGCGGCGGGTGCGGAGGGCCGGGGCGCCCACGGGGGCCAGCGCTGTCCCTGCGGAGGCGAGAGGGGCCGTTCCGGGGAGATGCCGTCCCCGCCGCTGGGGACCCTGCCCGCGCTCCCTCTGGGCTTTCAGGCACATGGAGGGCCTTATTGCTTCTGATCAGTGACAAGGGGTGGGCTTCTTCGGGGGCATCCCCGGCCTCTGGGCACTGGGCCCCTCCCCTTCACGGAGAGAGGGCAGTCTGAGGAAGTCCCACTGACTTCCGACCTACGTCCCTAGTGCTACAGCTGCCGCCTCTTGGGCTCCCTGGGATGGGTCGCTGGACCCCGGGCTCGGATGAGGTGGGAGGGGCAGCAGTGAGGCCTGTGACTCCACTCTGCAGACACAGGGCTGCAGCCCTGAACTCCCCTAGTGGGCAGCCTGAGCCCCACCTCCAAGGAAGGCCTCCAGGAACAGCTTGGGCTGCAGGGCGGGGACTTGCATAGAGGCCTGGGGGTTCTGGTCCCCCAGAGTGAGCTGGGTGTGGGGTCTCATGGGGGCAGGAAAGACTAGGCCAGGTGGTGAAGGGGCCTCCCTCATCTCTCCTGGCACCAGAGCATGGCAGGCAGGCACCCTGGGAAGGGCACTGGGGGACCAGGGACTTTGGCATCCCTCCCCCGGCGGGTGAGGAGGGTCAGGCACAGGGCTCTGGGCTCTCAGGGACCCGGGTAGACTGGGTAGGCTTTGATCAACAGGCTCCATGTACCACACACCCAGGTCCCCAACTGGTACCAGGAAACGGAGCCTCCTCTGTCCCCTTCAGCCCCTCTCCCCACGCCTGGACACTCCACCCCTACCCCCAAAGCCCAGCCCAGAGTCCCCACCCCCGAGTTAAAGCTTGTGACCTGAGCCTTCCTCTTCAGGCCGGGGTGTGTCCGGCTCCTCAGCTGCAGCCTCGTCCACCAGCCCACTCCGCTGGGCTCGGCAACCGCCACCGCTGAGGGTCCCGTCCTGCCGGGCCTGCCCGCCCGCCCCGTTGGACCCGGTCTCTGCCCGGGCCCCGCCGAAGGGGAAAAGCTTGCCGGCATGGAAGGCCTTGGGTGGAGAGTGGCTACGCTCTGGGTCCCGCCGAGTCTCAGGTGACTTGAGGAATTTGAAGCTAAGGAAGGCTGGCAGGCGGGTGTCGCTGCCAGTGGGCGACTGGGCAGGGGTTGGCCGGGTGGTGAGGTTGGCCCCCGGGCCGGCCGGCGAGGAGGACGAGGCCCCGGACGACAGGAACTTGCCCTGCAGCGGGATGATCTGCTTCAGCTTCATGACGTTGTTGGGTGCCAGCAGGGACCCCGGGCGCTTGGGTCGCTCCGGCCCGTGGCCACCTGCCCCACTGCCCTTGGCCTTGGCCGAGGTTTTCTCCGGGGCAGCAGGGTCCAACCCAGAGCCCTCGGCCCGAGCCTCCTCTCGGCCACTGGCGTCTCGCTCCCTCCGGGCGTGGTGTTCCGCGTGGCGCTGTCGCTCCTCCTCCTCCCGCCTCCGCCGCTGCTGTTGCTGGTAGCGGTGCTGGGCCTGGCGCTCATGTCTCTGGGGGCAGAATGGGGCCATTACAGGCGCTGGGAGGAGTGAGTGTGTGAGCAGGTGCCCACCCAGGCCTGGGCCCACGCCAGGGCTCTCCTGCAGACGTGGGGAGAGATCCACACACTTCTTGGGTTCCAGCTGCATCCCTGGACCCACCCCAGGGCTCTCTGAGAACTGAGAAGACAGCAAACATTTACAGGCCACCAATTCTGTCCCCGGTCACACGCTAGATGCTGTCTTAAAAATTGGGAGAGTTAAAACAAACATTGGGCCTCAGCGGTTCCCTGCTTTCTGGAGAACTGGGTAGAGACAGCTCTGACTGTCCAGTGGCCAGTAACCACACATGGCATTGTTAATTAAAAAAAAAAATTAGTATTTTTGGGCCCCACCACCTGGGCTTGCAGGTATCTCAGTTCCCAGACCAGAGACTGAACCCGGGCCATGGCCATGAAAACACTGAATCCTAACCGCTAGACCAGCAGGGGATCCCATGGTTTTGTCACTTTAAATAACTGAAATAAGGTAATTCCCTGGCGGTCCAGTGGTTAGGATTCTGTGCTCTCACCGCGGAGGGCCCGGCTTTGATGCCTGGCTGGGGAACTAAGATCTCATAAGCCCCTAAGCACAGCCAATAAATAAATAAACAACCAGATAACTGAAGGAAAAGCTCGGTTTCTCAGTAGCACCAGTCCCATTGCAAGCGCTCCTTGGCCATCTGTAGTAACAAACGGGCTACATGGGCAACCCAGAATAGAACATTTCCATCACTATTTTGGGGGCTTCCCAGGTGGTACAGCGGTAAACAATCTGCCTGTCAATGCAGGAGACTTCTCATAAGAGACTTGGGTTCGATCCCTGGGTTGGGAAGATCCCCTGGAGAAGGGAATGGCTACCCACTTTAGTATTCTTGCCTGGAGAATTCCATGAACAGAGGAGCTTTGTGGGCCCCAGTCCATGGGGTCACAAAGAGTTGGACACTGAGCAACTGAGCACACACACACATCATCATGGAGGGCTCCACTGGTTGGTGGCAATGAGCTCCCAGGCCCGCTCTGCATGCAGCTCTCTGGGGAATGTGGCACAGGCTGGGCTTCTAGGAAGCACCAGCTGGGTCCCTAACCCCAAAGAGGACACTGCCCAGCAAGCTGGCAGATGACAGTTCATAAGTGCTGGCCTGGTGCGGGATGCCACCAGGACCCCAGAAGGGACCAGGTCCTTTTGAAATGCTAATTATTACCCCAGGCTTCCCTGGTGACTCAGATGGTCAAGAATCTGCCTGCAGTGTGGGAGACCTAGGTTTGATCCCTGGATCGAGAAGATCCCTGGAGGAGGGCATGGCAACCCACTCCAGTATTCTTGCCTGAAGAATCCCATGGACAAAGGAGCCTGGTGAGTTACAGTCCATGGGGTCACCAAGAGTTGGATACGACTGAGCAACGAACACTAACATGATCTGCGCATCTGCCCTCCTAAGGGTGTGAGTGCCCAGCCATGTGAGGCGGAGAGATGAGGGGCGAGGAGCCCTCGGAGCAGAGATGTAAAGCATGCCAGGCCTGGCCCACGCACCTTGAAGGCCTCCCGTCGCTGGTACTCCAGCTTGGCCATCTCCTCAGCCACCCAGCCCGGGATGTCGGGGATGGCCACATGGATGAGGTACTTGAGGAGCAGAGCGAAGTGCTGAGGCGACAGAGGAGGAGGCTGCAGGCGTGGGGACAACCCCCCCCGCCCCCACCGCCTGGTTCCCCCCTCCGGCCACCGGTCCCACCTCGAGCACCACCACGGACACGATGGCTGCCTCGGGACTGAGCCAGGGGAAGAGGCGCTGCAGCTGCCCACACTGGCCAATTAGATAGCAATTGACCACGATTGCCAGGACGCCCATGACCTCCATCACCTTCTGCGGGGGTCGGGGGGACAAGAGGGGCTCAGGTGGGGTCCCGCCAGCCTCCCCAGCACCCGCTCCACCTCTGGGGACCCTGGCTCCGAGCCCTTGGCCCTTCCCCCACCTGCCACTGGCCAATGCTTTCCACCCGCTGCCCAAAGGGCCGCTGCAGCCCCGTGCACAGCTTGAGGGCATCACTGCGGATCTCGATGAGGTTGTTGATGAGGGCGCAGAGGGCAGCCAGGGGGAAGGCGGACGAGAAGAGCACGACATAGCCAAACTGCACGAACATCTCCTGGTAGTCCTGGAACGTGTCCTGTGGGCAGGCACCCAGAGGCTGGGCCTAGGCTCTCCCCCAACCCAGGGCATCGCCTCCCTCAGCCCACCTTCCTCTCGTCTAGCCCGCCTCCTTCAGATTATCTTGCATGGACCCAAGCTCAGCAAGGTTAGCACGTTTCTGATCACATAAGGGTGAGTCGCTCAGTTGTGTCCAACTCCTTGCAGTCCCATGGACTGTAGTCATGGGATTCTCTAGGCAAGAAAACTGGAGTGGGTCCCCATTCCCTTCTGTAGGGGATCTTCCCGACCCAGGGATTGAACCCCAGTCTCCTGCATCGCAGGCAGATTCTTAACCATCTGAGCCACCAGGGAAGCCCTGATCACATAAAGGGTCCTGTTATTCCTTCCTGTCACCCCCACCCCACCTCCACCCTCAGACTGTGTGCCCTGCCCTTCTGATGCCTCCACGCTCGGGTGCTCTCCTCACCTCATATTTCTTCATGCAGCTCTCGAGCTCCGCCTGGGTGAGCTGAGACGAGTGTTCCTCCTCGGGTGGGTCGATCCACGATGACCGGTTCTGCCGCCGCTGCTTCCGGGCTGAGTCGCCTGAGCCTGGCTCTGGGTCCGGGCCCCCATCCGGGCCCTGGTCTCGGCCCTCACCTCCGGCCCGGCGGAGCAGGACAGCCGGGGGAGGCTCCCGTTCGGGGCTGCTGGGAGCCCCCTCGGCCTCATCGTCCTCCTCGGCCAGTGTGAACACACCTGGTTCCAGCCCCTTCTCCACCATGGTGGGGCTCCCCTCCTCCAGGAGGGCCTCCTGGCTTGGGCCTGGCCGCCGCCGCCCAGCCCCCCGCTCAGCAAAGCTGACCTTCTTTAGTCGGAGCCCGCAGTCCAGGAGGCCGCCCTCCTCGCCTTCCTCATCCTCATCCTCCTCCTCTTCGTCCTCCTCCTCCTCGTCCAGGTCCTCCTCCTCTCTGCCCCCCCGGGGCCCATCCCCCACCTCTCCCCCTTCCCCTGCCGGCCGCCGCTCCACCGTGGCCTCCTCTTCCTCCTCAGGTGCCCCGCAGCCCCCACTGAGACACCTGCGGCCCCCCCCACCGCTGCTGCCACCGCCACTCTCTTCAGCCGGGGGTTCGAGGTGGCGGCGTGCGGGGCGCCGGAGGCTCAGGAGGCCAAGGAGGGCACGGGCCAGCTCCCAGGCCGCCCGCAGGCCAAGCTCTCCTCGGCCCAGCCGCCGATACAGGTGGGGCTGCAGAACCTCTCGAACATTCTGGAGGAACTGGCGGGTGATCAGCAGTGTGGCCAGCATCTGGGGGTAGGAAGGGGGCGGAGAGTGGCCTCGTGGGGGGCGGGCGGGGCCCCGGGCACTAGGACAGGCTGTGAGCACCCACCCTCCCAAAGCACACATCCAGTCACAGCCTGAACCCAGTCTGGATGTCCCCAGGCACAAAGGCAACCCCAAACCACAGCTGGGCGGGCCACAGCGCTTCTAGCTGATCACCTGGGCAGGCAATGGCCTCCCATCATGCTGCACCTCCTGGAGCTCGGCTGGTGCCCACAGGGCCTCCAGGGGCTCTTGACACCTGCACGCAGTCGGTGGAGCCCCATCCCTCCAGAGCATGCACCCTCGGCTAGGCGTGAGGCCCCCGGCACAGCCACCTGCCCACCCTGGCAAGGCCCCGAGGGCTCGCCGCCACCTGCCCGTACTTTGGCCCGGGCCTCAAGAAGGAGGCCCTGGAGGGAGAGGAGGAGCAGGCGGAACCGCAGGGCCACGAGCGGGACCAGCACCGCCCAAAGCTGCCGCTCGAGGCTCTGGGACAGGGACAGGACGATCAGGAGCTGTGGAGGGACCGATGGACAGGTGGACAGACAGATGGGGGGGGCATGACAGGCAGAGAGAGGACACACAGACAAATGGACAGAGAGGAGAGAAGGATGGAGGAGGAAGGGAGGGGCTGAAGAGCCCATGGACCCCTTGGGCCAGGTCTGGCCCCCACAGCCAGCTGCCTTGGGGGGTACTGCTTTAGGCCAGGGTCTCACCTCTTTCAGGCGTTCCATGTCCTTGAGGTAGAAGCCAATGTAGAAGAGGCTCAGGTATGAGTTGACGAACTGGAACTGTGCGAAGCAGGGCGGGGGGTGGTCACCCTGCCATGTCTGTCCCAGGGAGCCCCCACGTGTCCCCTGTGGAGCCCCTGCCTCGGGACTTCCCCTGTGGTCCAGTAGCTAAGACTTCACGCTCCCAACGCAGGGGGCCTGAGTTCGGTCTCTGGTCAGGGAACTAGATCACATGTGCCACAACTAAGACCCGGTACAGCCAAATAAATAAATAATAAAAAAATAAAAGAAGCCCTGCCAGCTTGCTGGCCACCACTCACCAGGACGACCTTGATGATGAGGTGCTTCTCATAGGCACTCTCCAGCCGATAGTTCTCTGGGGGCCAAGGAGATGAGTGAGAGTGTAGCCCAGACCGTCATGGGCAGCAGGGACCCCACAAGGCAGTGGGGCCCTTCCTCCTGGGGGCTGGGCAGTGGGACCACCCCTCACAGTGCGTACCCATGTCGTTGAGCCAGACAGCCAGCTTCTTATAGCCCTCGGCGCTTGCACTGACCAGCAGGGCCAACATGACTTTCGGCAGGAAGCGGGCAAGACGGGGCAGCCCCTTCACGCTCAGCACCAGCTCCTGCAGGGACAAAGGGGTTCACAGGTTACCCCGGTCGCTAGACTCGGCTCGGGGCACACCTGAACAGGTTGGGGCCGAGGCCAGGGCTAGGGACTGGAGGTCACCTGGAGCTGGAAGCAGCCGAGCATGAGCAGGAACACGCAGGCTAGGCAGGTGAGGCACAAGGGGAGACTCACGAGCATCTGGAAGAGCAGCCGCTTCCAGGGTGGGTAGTAGAACTCCTCGGCCTGAGTCACGGGGCTGATGCGCCGCACGCCCTGGCAGAGGGTGGGGGCGCGGCCAGACACAAGATCAGAGGGGCTGCCTCTGTCCCACCCCCTTCCAAACCCTTCGAACTCCATGTCTATGATGCTTTGTTATCGTGGTTTGTTGTAGTTCAGTTGCTAAGCTGTGTCTGACTTTGTGACCCCATGGACTGCAGCACGCCAGGCTTCTCAGTCCTTCACCATCTCCCGGAGTTTGCTCAAACTCATGTCCATTGAGTAGGTGATGCCATCCAGACATCTCATCCTTGCTATCAGGGTGTGTCCACTTAATGCACCCTCACTAGTCTCTCAAATCCAACTTTCCTCACCTCTCCCTTAGGACATGCAGATCCCCTCACTTGGCAAACCTTCTCAGAAGCTGCAGCCCTACTTCACCTCCTGCTTTGTTCTTATAATGCTACTTGCTCAGTATGTTTTCTCTTTTTTACCCCATTCTTGAAGTCTCTGAACTCAGACTGCCCCGACTGACCCTGAACTGGGGTCGTGGCTCCTCCACAGCTTCCCCAGGTGAGTCCAGTGTTCCCCACTTGTAGGCCAGCTCGGCCCCCCTCCGTTTCCACTCCTCCAAGAACAGTGTTGACCAGACCACGTTGAAGAGGGCAAAGACCACGCAGGACACATCCCGGCTTGTCTGGGGGTGACAGAGGAGGGCTGTAATGTTGGCTGGCCCAGTCCAGGGAGGAAGTTATCTGAGGAGTTCCACCCCCTGTCCAGTCCACACCCGGCACCTGATCAGCCTCTGTGAATGTGTACAGGACTGAGCCGAAGACTGCCGGGTACACCATTGCCGATGTGTAGAAACCCAGCCAGGCAAAGTACATGGCAATCTTCACACCAAAGTAGTCGCAGATCTCATCTGCCAGGGACGAGGAGGGGGCGGACCCAGTCAGCCCTGCCTGCCTCCTGGGACCCCCACCAACCCCCCACTCCAGCCAGGACCACACCTAGAGGCTGGTTTTCACACACAGCTTGCACCCATGACTTCATGAGACGGTTCAGGATGCGCTGCTCGTGGACTGGGAACACCTGCTGGATGATCCCGCGGGCCGCCAGTTCAGGGACTGTTGGGGGACAAGAATGGGTGACCCCACCCGTCTGCCTGTGCTGGGCTTGGCCCGTCCCCCTCGGCTGAAACCCAAGTTATAACTTTTTGCCTGCTCTTAAACTAGCAGACGCTCTTCCCAGGAGAAGCGTTCTGGGTGAAAGGAACATCATTCCTCAAAATTTGGGAGGGGCAGGGGCAGGTGGGATCCCAGTGGGGAAACACATTTTTAAACAGAGCTACTTGGTTTCAGCTCATTCCTCCAAACGTCTGAGGAATGGTGCAAAGCTGGCATTAGGAGGTGAACTTGCAGCGGCTGGTTTTCTGGGGGATACTGAGGCCCAGAGATCACCACACAATTTGTGGAGTGCTGTCCATGGTCCTGCCCCAACCTTATCGCGGGCCCAGAAAAGGGTTTCTCCTGGACCTGCCTCCAAGGAGACAAGCCCCACCCCTTGCTGAGGCCACACCCCTCCAGCTCATTGGCTGCTCTCCTGGCCCCGCCCAACTCCCCGGGAGACTCTGATTGGTTTCATCTAGGCCCCGCCTTCCTGTCCCAGTCCTCCGAGAGCCCCAGCCAACTCCCCACATATGATTGGAAGCTCGGGACCACCTCACTCACTGATTGGCTGGTCCTCCAGAAAGCGCACATTGTGCAGTGCCTCGCCCTGCTTGGCACGAAGGTTCTGCAGCCAGAAGCGGATGATGCTCTGGCGCTCCTGCAGGGGACAGGGCGTGAGCACAGGGAGCAGCCGCCCACGGGCTAGGAATGTGCGCTGGGGGCCAGAGCCGGCCGCACCTGGGAGGTGAAGAAGCGCAGCTCACTCTCCACATTCTCGTAGATGAAGTCCTCCTCGCAGGAGAAGCCGCGGGTGCCCCCGCCAAACTCGGCCTTCACTGCTTTGCGCAGACCCAGCTCGTCGGCCCCTCTGAGTAGGCTGCGGGAAGGGCAGGGGAGGTGGGATCACGGGGAGACCCTGGCTCACCATCCTGGAATGGTGTACCTGGTGGCCGTCTGGGACAAATGCAGGGTGGCTGGACCTCGCCGTTGGCGCTTGGAAGGGCGGGGAGCTGAGTAGCAGGGTTAGCGAGAGGCCAGGGACAGGGACTCGCCTCTCGTATGTGGCGGTGACGAAGAAGGCGTAGGCGCGTGTGTGGCGATGGTGGCGGACTTGCACGATGAGCTCAGGGATACCCACGCGGATGTGGTTCAGCAGCCATAGCAGCGTGTGGTCATCGGTCGTATCTGCCAAGGGGCACAGGGACCAATGGCTCTTGCCAGGAGTGACAGGGGAGCAGCCCAGCTCGGGGGAATCCAGAGTGGGCCCTGGGCGGGTGAGCACAGACAGGTACCTGGGAAGGTCATCAACACGTCACAGTTCTCCGTGGGCACCGTCTTCATCCACGCTTTGTGAGACACCAGATACCGACCCACCTGCAGGAGCCGCTTCCCAAAAAGCTTATCTGGGGAGAAGGCAGGGCAGGCTGGGGTCAGGTCAGTCTCAGATGGCCTGGCCTCCAGTCTTAGTCTCTCCAAACCTTGCCCCTGATCACACATTCGCCAGGGATCCTTGGCACTCAGCTTGGCATTCAAGGCCTTATGAGCTCTAGCCCTGGCTTGTTTCCTTCCCTCCACGTCCTTGTACCAGCCAGGCCCTTCTCCAGGAATGCCCTTCCCCCAGGTCCTCCCTTACAAATCTTACTCATTCTCGAGGCCCAGCTCCGCCTCCGAAACCACAATCGATGGGGCGCTCACTAGCAGCTCTGAGCGCCTCACCACATTATGTCAGCGTCTCCTCATAGCTGGGTGCGGTTCTTACCCCCATTTCACAGGCAAGGAAACTGAGGCCGAGCATTTAACTCACGCGCCCAAGGTCACAAAGTCCAGAAGGGATTTGAACCCAGGACTGTATGATTCTGTATCCTCTGTGGAGAGGCTGTCTTGAGCGCATCACTGCTCAGCAGCGATCGAGTAGCCCAAGGGGTGACTGGGCTTAGTCCCGCACCGGGGCTCTAGGAGGGGCGTGTCCATATCTCTGCGCTGGGACCCCACACCCGCTGCACCGTTCCAGCCGCGCTCGCCCGGCCGGCCGCAGCCGCAGTGCCGGGAAGAGCCGGTGCCTCGACTGGACTCCAGGCCCGGGACGGCTGACTCCAATATCCCTCCCCGTAGACCTGCCGCGAGCACCCCAGGCACCTGCAACCCTGTCAGATCCAGGCGCTGCACACGTACCCAGAACTCCGGACGCCGGGGCTGCAGGCTCGCCCTCCGGCGGGGGCCTCTTGCCACGCTCGCCCTCCAGGGACGTGCCCCCAGCGCCGGAGGTGGCTTCCGCCATTGCGAGGGCAGGTCAGGTCAGGGGCTGCGGGCGGCCCAGGCGCCGGGGGGCCGCGGGCTCATGGGGCCGGGGCAGCCACCGAGCGCGCTTGAGGAGGAGACAAAGGCCGCGCCCGCCCGCGCCGGCCGCCGTCCCCGCGTGCCCGAGCGCTGCTTCTCGTCCCCGCCCGCGCGGAACCTCGATTCTCCTCGGCCCCGCGCGCGTCGTTCTCTGGTTCTCGACTCCGCCCGTGATGTTTTCCGAGTTTCGTTCTCGCCCGCCCACCTCGCTCTCTGGTGTGCGTCCCCGCCCGCGCCGAATGTTCATTCTCCTCCCTGTCCCCGCCCGAATCGTGGCCCCATCTCGACACCGCCCGCCCTGGGCCTGGATCCTCTGCCTTAAAGCCTTAGTTTCCCCATCGGTTTGGAATCTGAGATGGTCTTGCGGGTAGGTGGTGTGGGTGGGCTTGGGGGGGGGGGGGCGGGGGTGAGCCTGGTCTCTGGAGATTCCCGGTAGCAATAACTCCAACCACCACGGGGAGAATGAGAATAAGTGTATCATGCCTTAGTACATGCTGTTCCTTACCTAGGACACTTTTCAAGCCCTCTTTGTCCAGTGAACTGCTGCACCCTTCAGGATGAAACGTCCTCAGAGAGGACGCGGTAGAGTTACCAAATTTCAGTTCAGTTCAGTTCAGTCTCTCAATCGTACCCGACTCTTTGCGACCCCACGGACTGCAGCACGCCAGGCGTCCCTGTCCGTCACCAACTCCCGGGGATTACTCAAACTCATGTCCATTGAGTCGGTGATGCCATCCAACCATCTCATCCTCTGTTATCCCCTTCTCCTTGGGCCTTCAATCTTTCCCAGCATCAGGGTCTTTTTAAAAGAGTCAGCTCTTTGAACCAGGTGGCCAAAGTATTGGAGTTTCAGCTTCAGCATCAGTCCTTCCAATGAACACCCAGGACTGATCTCCTTTGGGATGGACTGGTTGGATCTCCTTGCAGTCCAAGGCACTCTCAAGAGTCTTCTCCAACACCACAGTTCAAAAGCATCAATTCTTTGGCGCTCAGCTTAAAGAGGCAGGTCAGGTGGTCTGGTATTCCCATCTCTTTCAGAATTTTCCACAGTTTATTGTGATCCACACAGTCAAAGGCTTTGGCATACTCAATAAAGCAGAAATAGATGTTTTTTCTGGAGCTCTCTTGCTTTTTTGATGATCCAGTGGATGTTGGCAATTTGATCTCTGGTTCCTCTGCCTTTTCTAAGTTTAACAAATAAAAATGCAGTTCTCCTATTGAAATGTGAATTTCAGACAAATGAATAAATTTTTGTATGTCCCAAATATTACATGCTTCCCTGGTCACTCAGATGGTAAAGAAGCTGCCTGCAATGGCCAGAGACCTAGGTTCTATCCCTGGGTTGGGAAGATCCCCTGGAGAAGGGCATGGCAACCCACTCCAGTATTCTTGCTTGGAAAATCCCCATGGACAGAGGAGTCTGGAGGGCTACAGTTCATGGGGTTGCAAAGAGTCAGACATGACTGAGCGGCTAACACACATACACGGACACACAAACATTGTATGGGTCATAATTATACTGACAGGATAATCCTTGTTCATCTGAAATTTACGTTTAACTGGGGGTCCTGGAGAATCCCAGGGACGGGGGAGCCTGGTGGGCTGCCGTCTATGGGGTCGCACAGAGTCAGACATGACTGAGTGACTTAGCAGGGGCTCCTGTATTTTGTCTGTCCTCCAACCCCCTGACCATCCTCTGAAGCCTCCTCTGTTAGACTGATCGACCACGAGGGCAGGGGCCCAGGCTGATTCTCCGTGTTTACACGGTAGGCATTTGATGTGTACTTTTGACAGATGGAACAGCTTGGAGAGAGCCAACGTCATCATTCACTCCTCTTCTACACGTGAAAAAAAATTTTTTTGGACTTTTTATTTTTGTGGTGGGGTATAACCAATTAACAATGTTGTGATGGTTTCAGTTGAACAGCGAAGGGACGCAGCCAAACATATACAAGTATCCTTTCTTCCCTAAACTCCCCTCCCATCCAGGGTGCCAGGCAACATTAAGCACCGTTCCATGTACTATACAGTAGGTCCTAGGTGGTTATCCATATTAAATATAGCAATGTGAACATTTCCCCAAACTCCCTGACAAATTAAAAAACTGAACAGAGCGAGGCGTGGAGCTAATCATTAGAACAGTACTGTTCCAGTCTTCCCTAAGTATAGTTGCGCCACCCGCCCGCTCCGTCCAAGAACCAGAGAATTCGCCGCGTGACAGCACCCCGGAGACCCCGCCTATCCAGTGCCTGGAATTCCACCATCAGCGCTTTACTTCATGGGCCGGCGCTGTCCCGGGTTAACCTGAAAATAATCTCCCCTTTCTGGCTTTTGGGGAGCCAGAGACAGCCGGGACACACAACTCTGCACGAGGAGACCGGGGCCAGAGTAGCTCAGAGGGGAGAGAGGACTGTGCTGGGGATCCTAGGGAGGCTTCCTAGCGGAGGGGAGCTTGGAGCAAGGCACTGAGGCTGTTTGTCAAGGGAAGGATATCTGAGGCAGAGGGACGGCGGGAGGGAAGGCTGGGGAGGGGCGAGAAACTGTAGAGTTCCGAGAAAAGGAGAAGTCTTCCCAGAAATTTGGAATAGATTCCCCCAGGGTCAGGGCGTAGGTTACCCGGAACTCATCCCTCCCGGCCCCTGAGATGCTCTTGAAAGTGAAAGGCACTCAGCCGTGTCCGACTCTTTGCGACCCCATGAACTGCAGCCCACCAGGCTCCTCTGTCCTTAGGATTCTCCAGGCAAGAACACTGGAGTGGGTTGCACTTCCTTCTCCAGGGGATCTTCCCGACGCAGGGATCGAACCTGGGTCTCCTGCATTTCAGGTAGATTCTTTACTGTCTGAGCCACCAGGGAAGCCCCCGAGATGCTCTTGCTTCGACTCAAACCCTCGCCTTTCTATAATTTCCATTGCCCTGCGCCACTCCTCATTTCCGGTGTCTAGGAACCTGGCCTCTCTAGGATCCTAAAAATTCTGTCTAATGTTGCTAGAGGAACACCATTTCACTGCACCGCAGCCGGCAAGCCCTCGGCTTCTTTCCCTGTCATTAGCCAGTAGAAGCGAAGACCTTCAGTGGATAGGCGGTACGTCTTCTAAGGGGCCCAATGATAATCGAGAATTGTTAAGCACTTGCCCAGTCACGCCGCGGAGTGGGCGGGACCTCCTGCAAGGACTTGCAGACCCGCACGGCAGGGTGGGCAGGCGGGTAGCTGGTTGTGAATCCATGTGGCGGGGGCTGTGGACCCTGGTATCCCGGGCTGCACGTGGGCCTCACAGGTGGGGTGAGCTGGGGGAGGGCTGTGACAGCGTAGGGCGTTGCTTGGGCCCCAAACCCTCTCCCTGGGATCTGGGTCCGGTTCCCTGCGGCAGAACCACCTTTCGCCTCCGTCCAAGCCCCACCCCCGGCCGCAGAGCCCACCGAAATCCAGTCTTCTTCTGGCCTCAGAACCTCCGATCAGTCCATCCCCTAGCCACAAAACGTCCACTTGGGGGCTCACGCGACCATCGAGCCATCTATCCACCTGCCACTCTGGCGTCAGAGCTTCTCAGATGCACTGACTCTCCTCCTCTCCAGTCCCAGACCGTGCACGCGCCAGGGCAGTCGTTACCCGGGCCCCGGTTCCGGAGCCACTATCTTCGCTCTGAGCTCTGGCCAAGGCCGCTGCGGCATCGCGGTGATCCGAACCAGCGGCCCTGCCAGCGGCCACGCCCTCCGGAGCCTCACGGCGCCGCGGGACTTACCCCCGGCCCGCAAAGCCTGCCTGCGCCTGCTCAGCGACCCCCGCTCTGGGGAGCCTTTGGATCGCGCGTTGGTGCTTTGGTTTCCAGGTACGGGACTTCAGATCCGGAACCTCAAGTAGCTCCTATGACCGTACTTCCTCCTTCCAGGCGTTCACCCAGGCTGTATCCTGCTGACACCCATCTCTTCAACATACTAGGTCCCCAAAGTTTTACGGGTGAGGATTGCACGGAGTTCCACGTGCATGGAGGCCCGGCCGTGGTGAGTGGTGTCCTGCAGGCCCTGGGTAAGTGCGGCCTTGGGTTTGAGGTATTGCTACGCCGGTGACCTGGGTAGGGGCCAGGGTCCTCAGGATCTTGAACCTTCCCGCAGGCAGTGTGCCAGGTCTGAGGCCAGCGGAAGCAGGCGAGTTCACCAGGAGGGCGTTCGCCCACGGGAAGCTGAGCCTGACGGAGGTGGAGGGGCTGGCAGATCTGATCCATGCAGAAACCGAGGCGCAGCGGCGACAGGCCCTGAGGCAGCTCGATGGGGAGCTGGGTGACCTCTGCCGCGGCTGGGCCGAGACCCTCACTAAAGCAAGTACACCATTCGCTCATACCTTGCCGCAGAGACACTACCTAACCTTTTCCTGTTAGGGTTTCCTGCCTCCAATGAGCCACCAATCTGGTCCCTTAAGGTCAGGCCGAACCCGGGCACCCACTCGGGGTGAGTTTCTGTACGATCACACTACCCACCCCTCCCTCCCTCAGGCTCTGGCCCATGTAGAGGCCTATATCGATTTTAGTGAGGATGACAACCTGGAGGAAGGCGTCCTGGATCAAGGTGGGTCCCCCTGGGGGTGGGAGGTGGAGATATCTGGCATCCAGCGCCCCCAGGTTCTCTTACTCTCTCTCTCCTTTCCTCCATCCACAGCTGATAGTGAGGTGCGGAAGCTGGAGGTAGCGCTGGGCGTACACCTTCGAGATGCCAGGCGCGGGCAGAGGCTCCGCTCAGGAGCGCACGTAGTGGTTGCGGGACCTCCCAACGCCGGCAAAAGCAGCCTGGTGAACCTGCTCAGTGCGTGGGCAGGGGGCGGGGCTCAGGACAGGGGGCGGGGCTGGGAGCTAAGGTACTGGGCTTTCCGGGGTAGGGAAGGGGCCCTGGAGGTTGAAAACTGTCCGTCCGGGGGTGGAGCCTAAGGGAGGGACTCTCTTGTCTCCACC